AAAAAAAAAAAAAAAAAGAAAAGAAAAGAAAAAATTACAAGTGCTTTTTGAGTGGGAAAATTATGAACCAGTAGATTTAAGTGTCAGTATATATAGTATATATGTGTATTTTCACTTAATAGAAAAATGCTTTTAGATTTTTGCTGAAAACCTAATTTAGTACCTTTTTCTCAATAATTTCCTGGTTGTGCTATTAGCACTCATTTTCCCATTTGAGTTTAAAACTGCACCCATTCATCTCATGTGCCTTCATTTAAATTTCCAAATATTTCTGGAATCCATCTCTTCAATTCTGTTCACACTAACAACTTGTTGGGTAATAATTAATTCTCCAGAAATTATCTCCTAGTTGCTCTGCCCTCACTTGCTCTGCTAAATTAACTGTTCTGAAGTAGTGCTACTCAAAATGTGGTCCAGAGACCAGTGCTAGTCTATGAATGTTTGTCAGTCATCAATAACATGACTCAAACAGAAATTTCAAACATTCTGAAACATTTACACCAATAGAGAAATTTTATTTGTTGAATGTGAAGACAAGCACTGAGACCTAGCCAAACTCACCTAACCTGTCTTCCATAATAATTGTATCTTCCACAATAATTGTCACAGTATGTTTTTTTTCATTACTTTTGAGTTTGGCATCAGCAAAGAGGGCCTGGGGTGGCTATGCTGACTAGCCTGGTCACCATGTAATAGCTGCACAAAGGAAAACTAATCAGTGACAATAGCCCAAGGAAATAACCTGTTTCTGAGATATGCAGAACTGAAAAGCATCTCAGAACTTTCTGGCCCACCCGAAATGAAAAGGCGTACACTAATCTGGAACATAAACCACTCCTAAACCATCTTCCCTGCAAGATGGACTTTGAACAAGACTTCTCCGTCTTTTTTTAGAACTAGCTTTTTGAACAAAGTCACCTTCCTTGCTTCAGCACCTTGTTGCTTGACTTAACTGGTCTACTGCACAGCAAGCAGCCAGATGCAGAACTGGTAAAATATTTAATAGTAAGAATGCACACTTACATTTTATGGCTCTTCATTTTTCTATAATTCTTTTTTTTTTTTTTT